CCATCCTATTAAAGCAATCTACAAATTCAATATAATCCCATCAAAATTTCAACACAATTCTTTACAGACAATTGAAAGGACGATTCTCTACTTCATATATAAAAACAAAAATCTAAGAATAGAAAAAAAAATCTCAACAATAAAAAACTGCTGGAAATACCACCATCCCCGACTTCAAGTTTTAGTGCAGAATTATGGTAATAAAAAACAAATGTAAATGTTTTTATTACCTCAGATGTGGGATGAGAGACATACCTCTGCAAATATTCAGCTTGGGCTGAGCCCAGAGCATTTCTTTCTCTGTTCTAGCTATCCCTAGGCCTAAGCCTAGAAGCTTCTAGCTTCTGTACAATCTAGTCTTCTGCAAAGCTGGACCTTGAAGACTTTAACTTCCAGCCTCTATCAGCTAACCTAAATCTAGAATGTTCCAGCCTCCCGGATTTACTGCTGAATAAGCTCATCCTTCTTAGTTCTTTCTGGACTCTGGCTGGTTGGGTCAACTCAACTGTTCTGGTTCAAAATTCCTATCCAAACTGACTAATTCAAACTGGCTTCTCTCAGCTTCTGACTGAATTACTGTGCTTGAAAAAACCTGACTCTGAATTCCCCAAACTGAACTTCACTGACTGCATGAACTGAACAGAACTCAACTGCATTCACCTGAACTGTACCCAACTCAACCCTCTCTTCTCCTTGCACTGCTGTTAATGTAACCTCTCTTTCCTATCTGTTCTCATGAGAGTTGGGCATATCCTATCTCTGACTCATTCTGGCATATCTTTTTCTGAGTCATCACTTTATCTGCTCCTCAATTATATGTCATCATTTGGGATTAAAGGTGTGTGTTAAAGGTGTGACTGTATTCCAGCCAGAGTGATTAAAGGTGTGTACTAAGGATATATGTGTATACATATTTCAAGCGGATCACAGACCTAGGACTTTGGATGCAATTCCTTGACAGTGTAGCCATGTTGACGGATTAAAACTTCACTATGACCACATGTATTGGTATAAAAAAGCAGACACATGATTAATGGAATAGAGTTGAAGACCCAGACATAAATTTATACCCACCGGACACCTGATTTTTTTATCAAGAAGCCAGAAAATACATACTGGGGGAGAAAAGACAGCATCTTCAACAAATGGTGCTTGTCAAATTGAATGTCTGCATATAGAAGAAGGCAAATAGAACCATATTGACCACCCTCCACAAAATTCAATTCAAAGTGGATCAAAGACCTCAACATAAATCCAGATACACTGAACCTGACAGAAGAGATAGTGAGGAATAAAGATGAACACATTGACACAGGAAATAACTTTCTGAACAGAACTCTGGTAGCACAGGCACAAAGAACAATAATTAATGAATTGGGCCTCATGAAACTTGAAAGGTTCTTTAAGGCAAAGGATACCATTAATCAGAAAGATATCAGGCTAAAATTTGGGGGAAATTTACCTACTACACATCTGATAGAGGACTAATATATAAAACATATAAAGAACTCAAAAAACTAGACATCAAAAAACAAAATAATCAAATTAAAATGGGGAAGAGTTGCAAACAGAGAATTCTCAACAGAGGAATCTCAAAGGGCTTAGAAACACTTGAAAAACTGTTCAATGTCCTTAGCTATCAGGGAAATACAAGTAAAAACTACTTGAAGATTCCGTCTTTTAGCTAACAAAATGGTGAAGATCAATAACACAAGTCACAGCTCATGCTGACAAGGTTGTGGAGTAAGGGGAACATACATTCATTGCTGGTGGGAGTGCTAACTTGTACAGCCGCTATGGTAATGAACATGGTGATTCCTCAGAAAATTTGCACTCAATTTATCTCAAGATTCAGGTATACCACTCTCGGGCATATACCCAAAGGACACTCCATCTTACCTGACAAGGACACTTGCTCAGTCATAACCATTGTGACTTTATTCATAATAACCAGAAATTTAAAATGACCTAGATATCTTTCAAAAGAAGAATGAATAAAGAAAAAGTAGCATTATGTAGCTGCTTTAAAAAATTACTTCATGAAATTTCCAGACAAATGGATGGAACTAGGAAAAAAAAAACATCCTGAGTGAGGTAAAACAGACACAGAAAGATAGATATCATAGGTCTTCACTTACAAGTGAACATTATAAACCATTAAGTAAATGATACTTAAGCTACAATCTGTAGCTGCAGAGAGGATAGGGAAATAGGAGGAGTCTCGGAGGCCTTATGATCTCCCTGGGAAGAGGAACTAGAATAGATCTTATATGTGGACTGGGGAGGGGTGGAGTTGGGATCAGGAGAGATCAGTGGCAGAGAGATAGAATGGAGGGATGGAGTGCAGGGTCATTTGGGGGACGCTGTGGAAACCTAGCACAGTAGAAACTTGCTAGAATCTATGAATGTGTTCCTAACGAGGACTCCTGGAAATAAGGGAGACAGTGTCTCACCAGCCTCCTCATACGGTCAGGCAAGTAGAGAGACTTGGTTCTGTTCAACTGGGTTGTTGGCCAAAGGGAGCCCATAAAAACCCCAAACAACCCAGGCTGATGTTAAGACAAAGGATTGTTCTCCATAAACTGACATCAGGGCCCCATTGCCAAAGACAACATCCATATCCCTCACTGAACATGGAGAAGTTGATTTAGTTCCTGCATGGAACCTTCATCCCTAGGTTCTAGTATCTTTGGTGTGGGAAGATACTCTGCAGGCTACTGAAAGAGAAACATGGACACCAGCTCAGCAACAAAATCTTTACCCTACAACCTGTCCTGCCTGCAAAATATACTAGAGCAATGTTGACACAGAAATTGTGGGAATTGGCAACCAATGTCTGATTATGTCTGATTTGACTTAAGGTCCACTCCACGAGAAAGAGCCCATATCCGACAAACCTTGGGTAACCAAAAACTAAAGACTAGATACCCAGAGACGAAAGAAAGAAAGAAAGAAAGAAAGAAAGAAAGAAAGAAAGAAAGAAAGAAAGAAAGAAAGAAAGAAAGAGAGAGAAAGAAAGAAAAGAAAAGAAAGAGATAGAGAGAGAGGAAGGAAGGAAGGAAGGAAGGAAGGAAGGAAGGAAGGAAGGAAGGAAGGAAGGAAGGAAAGAAGGAAGGAAGGAAGGAAGGAAGGAAGGAAGGGAGGGAGGAAGGGAGGGAGGGAAAAAGAGAGAGAGAGAAAGAAAGAAATAGAGACAAAAAGAGAAAGAAAGAGAGAAAGAAATAACAGAGAAATGAAGAGAGAACAAAGAAATGAAGAAAGAACAAAGAAATGAAGTAAAGAATCAATAAAATGATTCTTAATGATATTCTGTTATACTCATAGATCAGTGCCTTATCCAGTCATCACAGAAAGGCTTCCTCCAGCAGCAAAGGGGATCAGATGCAAAGACCCACAGCTGGACAGTACCTAGAGCAATAGCATAAAGTGGAGGTCTGAATCAAATTCCTCAGGGAATCCTGTGGAATTGGTGGAAAGTTTGTAAGAGTCAGGGGAGCTAAAGGACACCAGGAGAACAAGGCCCTCTGAATCAACTAAGCAAGGGACATTTGAGCTCACAGAAACTGAAGCAGCAACCACAGGGCCTACAACTATTAGCTCAGTACTTGTATCAGACTCCTGACTGAGAACAAGTGGGTCTCTGACTTTTGTGTGTGCTCTTAGGACTTTTCTTCTCCTGTTGGGTTGCAGTGTCCAACTTTAATAATGATAGTTTTTCCTTTTCCTTTCCCTTATTGTATTTTATTTTGTCATGTTTGGTGTTCTCTCTTAAAACCTGTTCTTTTCTAATGAGAGAAAGAAAGGAGCAGATGAAGGAGGGAGAGGAGGTGGGGAAGAACTGTGAGGGATAGAGGGAGGGGGAAGTATAATAATACATTGTATGAAAAGATTCTTTTGTAATTTAATTTTTATTTTATTAATTACACTTTATTCCCAAATAAGATTTCCCCCCCCCATAAGCCCCTTCCTCCTCCCCTCCCAATCCCACCCTTCCTCCCCCTTCTTCACGCATGCCCCTCCCCAAGTCCACTGATAGGGGAGGTCCTCCTCTCCTTCCTTCTGATCTTAGTCTATCAGATCACATCAGAAGTGGCTGCATTGTCATCTTCTGTGGCCTGGTAAGACTGCTCTCCCCTCAGGGGGAGATGATCAAAGAGCAGGCCAATCAGATTGTGTCGGAGGCAGTCCCTCTTCCCATTACTATGTAACCCACTTAGACACTAAACGCTCAATCCCCATCCCGAAAGGCAAAGAGGATGGACATCAGAAGAAGAAGAAAGCAGGAAACAACCTAGGAACCTGCCACAGAGGGCCTCTGAAAGACTCTGCCCTGCAGAAAAAAAGATTCTTAGAATCTATCTCCAATGAAAAAAATAGTCCCAATTCATAGAGGCTAGAGAGCTTAGTTGGGTTAGGCATGTAGGTTGTATTTATAGTCATCCAATAGGCAAGAAGTCACCAAAAGGTAGCTATGTGAAGCACATAATCCCACCCACCTCTTTAAGTATTTTCCTACCTTTTAGAAGATTATACTTATGTTGGAAATGAAATACATATATAAGTTTAAAGTATGAAATAATATAAAAATTACTAAATAATGTTTTACAAAAGAAAGCTGTTTAGCAAATACTGTAAATTATGTTAAACCAAACAGGCCATGGGCATAATCATTAATAACTTTCATTAGTAAAACACCATGTAAATTTTTATGAGTACTTGTTTTATAACCATTTTATAGTTTAGAAGATTAGAGCATGAATGAATAATAATAAGTAGTAACGACAAGATTTACTGTAACTACTTCTTTATCAAGTTATAAGCTCATGATATGGCTATCTTCCTTCCTAGAGAGTTTAGGTCAAGGCAAGTCATATCCGTTGTAAGACAGTATTTGTAGATGATGACAGCTGTCTGTTAACTATTTATTTTTATTGCTTTTAAAATAATTTACAATGTTTGCCTTTAGCTATGTCTGTAAAATTATTGTTCTCCTTATCTAGGGCTGTGACACACAGATGATTTATGACCTGCTGCTAAGACTGAAATCCACTATTTATTTACCTGGTGACTTTGTCTGCAAAAGGGTAAGTGCATACTATTTTCAAATGCACAGTTAATAATGCACTGGAAGAATCAGGACACAGGTCATGATGTATTTAAATAAAATCTGTCCAGAGTGACTACCATATTATAAAACACACTATGATACATACTTAATTCTACAAAACAACAATCTATGTTTGGTGTTCAAAATGGAAAAAGATAATACAGGTTCAATTGCATAGGGTATAGAATAGATATGTAGGTGGTCCAAAAAGTTCTTTGTGTAAATGCAAATTACCAATAAGAATACACCATCAAATTTAAATATTTTAAGTGAAGGATAAAATGTAGAATTGATAGGTCTTGCTTTTTCTATGTCATCAACATGCTATCTGTTACTTCTTTTTGTGTACATAGTTAATAGATAATCAATCACAAATTTTTAAATCTTCATTGTGAATTTAATGACTACAAAAGTATTACTTTTATTATTTTTTAAAAAAGAAAACATATAAACCACAAACAAGGAAATTTTACCATGAAGAAATAAGAACTATTCATATATTGTGCCTGTCTTCTTATACAGATTGATGGGTCTCATGATGTAGCCCTGGCTGGCCTGGAACCCAGGCTGCCCTGCAACTCATAGAGATTTGCCTCTCAGGTGTTGAGATTAAGGTGTGTGTCACCACACCAGACTCTCAAACATGATTAAGAATATTTCTATAAGCCCAGCTTTTAGGAGGATCACAAAGTCAAGGTCAGCAGGAGCTACATAAGGAAGTAGTTCTAGGGCACCTAATTTACACAGTAAATTCTTGAAAGAGAGAGAATGATATCTTGAATATTATATCTAAAGAAATTAACTCAATGATGAAGCTAATAATAAAAATTTAAAAATAGAACATAAAATTATGTGTACATGTGATGTTAAAGTAGAAGTAAAATGACTAGGAGAGGAGGCGGGGCAAGATGGCAGCACCGGGAGGACTCTCATTCTGAGGAGCAGCACAGCAGGATTGGCACAGTGACCAGCAATCAGAACTCGCGGCCATAAAACACAAGTGGTTGTGTTTCACAGGTGAGAGGATACCCCATGGTGGGGGATTCGATCAGCTTTAACTCACCCGGCTAAACCACGGAAGAGATCCCCGTTCCGCCAGGCGCTTGGTCGCCAGCCCAGAGCTACACGCCAGTGCGATCTGGTCACGGTCCCAGACTGAACTGTGGGCCCACAACACCATAGACTGGATTTCCCAGTCGAGAGATAACCCCACGGAGCAGGAAACAATTGGGACAGACCCCAGGTTGCCCAGACATCCCCTGGAAAAGACTCGGGTTCCGCGGGTGCCCCAGGAGCCAGCCCGGACCCAGAGCCTGGAGGGACAAAGGCGCCTGCACAGAGCCCTGCCTGCGCGCGTGATTCGCCGCCTCAGATAGAACTGTGGGCACCAGGGCACCAAGGCACCAGACTGCGTGTCTCTGGCAGGAGGAAACCCCCAGCGGAGGGGGTCAGCAGCTCTAACGCTTAGGACACCCAGCACCAAAACACTTCCTGGACTCACGCAGACTCTAGTGCAGGCAGAAGCTCTGTGCTCTGCCGCCATTGTTGCGTTCCCCTGGGGCACTGGGACACACAGCTGCATCCTCGGACCTGCAGGAGCCGAAGAGCCATTACAGCAGCCCTCAGATACTGTGCCAGGGATCGGCCAGTTGTCCCTGGCTGGACTGCCAAAACTGTAGGAATCCCTGATCCTTCAGGGGGGCTGCACCCACAGCGTCTGGACCAGAGTGGTGCCTACAGCCACCATCCCAGACAGAGACACACAGCTTCTGGTCCAGAGTGAGGCACCCAGACTCCAGACCAGAGCAGTGCCCCCAGGCGCCAACTCAACCTAGGTGCACATTCTCCAGGTCCAGAGCAGAGCAATCAGCCTTTGGCCCAGAGACTTGCTGAGTGCACCTCCCACTTTCTCAGACAGAACTGTGCGCCACAGGATAACAGACTGAGTTTCCCTGTTGGGAGAAAATCCCATAGCTAGGGAATGAGCAGTTTCTTCAAGAGGACTGTACATGGAAATTTAGTGAGCAGCAGCACACTAAATTTATAACAAGAAACCCAGCAGTGGGGCAGCTGTCTTGAGAAATTTTATGGGTAAGAGGAGATCCCCCCCTGCCTAACATAGACCACAACTACTACTCAGGGCTATAAACCTGAGGTGAGCAGTGGCAACTCCGGAGAAACACTGGCCATACAGTGACCATAACCAAAAAGCAGAGAAGGACTCCTTCAGGAAAAATCATCTTCCAGCCAAGGGGATACTCCCTACCTCAGGACTCCAGGAAGCACAGAAACTAACAGCCAACACCTAAATCAGCCCAATGGGTAGAGGTCAGCGTAAAGGCTCAACCAACAAAAGACAGAGCAATATGGCATCTCCAGAACCCAGCCATCCAGGGGCGAACAGCCCTGAACAATGCAGCATAATAGAAAATCAAGAAGATGACCTTACATCTATGTTGATGAAGAGAATAATAGAGGAAACAGATAAAATACGTAAAGAATTAGAGGAAGATAAAACCAAACAGATCATGGCTATCCGTAAAGAAATGGAGGAAGATAAAGACAAGCAAATTAGGGCCATCCGTGAAGAAATACGGGAAGATGCAGCCAAACAGCTTGTGGCCTTCAGAGAAGAAATAATTAAATCACTGTAAGAAATAAAAGAGACAGAGTTGAAGGAACTAAAAGAAAAAGAGGAAAATAAAAGCAGACAGGTGAAGGAAGTAAACAAAACAACTCAAGACCTGAAGATAGAACTAGAAAAATTAAAGAAAACACAAATGGAGGAAATAATGGAGAGGAAAAATTTAGGGAAGAAAACAGGAACTACAGAGGTAAGCATAACCAACAGAATACAAGAAATGGAAGAAAGAATCTCAGGTGTAGAAGATACAATGGAAGAAATCAATGTATCTGTCAAAGAAAATGTTAAATCCAAAAAATTCCTGACACAGACCGTCCAAGAAATCCAAGACAATATGAAAAGACAAAACCTAAGAATAATAGGAATAGAGGAAAAAGAAGACTCCCTTCTCCAAGGCCCAGAAAATATTTTCAACAAAATCATTGAAGAAAAGTTCCCCAAGTTAAAAGAGAAGCCAATAAGGATACATGAGGCCTACAGAACACCCAACAAATTTGACCAGAAAAGAAAATCCTCCTGCCACATAATAATCAAAACAGGAAGTATACAGAACAAAGAAAAAATACTAAAAGCTGCAAGGGAAAAAGGCCAAGTAACATATAATGGCAAACCCATTAGAATCACACCTGACTTTTCAACAGAAACTATGAAAGCCAGAAGGGCCTGGACAGATATCATGCAGACCCTAAGAGAACACAGATGTCAGCCCAGGCTACTATACCCTGCAAAACTCTCAGTCCTCATAGACAGAGAAAAAAGATATTCAATGACAAAAACAAATTTCAACAATACCTACACACAAATCCAGCATTACAGAAGACACTGGAAGGGAAAATACAACCCAAGAAAATTAGCTGCTGTCAAGAAAACACAGGAAATAATTAACCTTACTACACTAAAACAAAAAGCAACCAAGCACACAACCTTATGAACACAGCCAACATCAAAATCAAAGGATCTAACAGCCACTGGTCATTAATCTCTCTCAACATCAATGGATTCAACTCTCCAGTAAAAAGACACAGATTAACAGAATGGATACGTAAACAAAACCCAGCAATCTGTTGCATACAAGAAACACATCTAAGGCACAAAGATAGACATTACCTGAGGGTAAAAGGTTGGAAGACGACTTTCCAAGCAAATGGACCCAAGAAACAAGCAGGGGTAGCCATTCTAATATCTCATAAAATAGACTTTCAACCAAAATTAATAAAAAGAGATGAGGAAGGACACTTCATACTCATCAAGGGAAAATTCCACCAGGAAGACATCACAATCCTGAACATCTATGCCCCAAATACAAGAGCACCCACATTTGTAAAAGAAACATTGATAAAATTTAAACCACATATAGATCCCCACACATTAATAGTGGGACACTTCAACACCCCACTCTCAACAAAGGACAGGTCAACAAAACAGAAATTAAACAAAGAAACAATATCTCTAACAGAGGTCATGAATCAAATGGACCTCACAGACATCTACAGAACTTTACACCCAAACACAAAAGAATTTATCTTCTTCTCAGCACCTCATGGAACCTTCTCCAAAATAGACCATATAGTTGGTCACAAAGCAAGCCTCAACAGATACAAGAAGACTGAAATAATCCCTTGTATCCTGTCTGATCACCATGGAATAAAGCTGGACTTCAACAACAACAGAAATAGCAACAAGCCTACACACTCATGGAAACTGAACAACTTGTTACTAAATGACAGCTGGGTCAGGGAAGAAATAAAGAAAGAAATTAAAGCCTTTCTAGAACTCAATGAAAATGAAGACACAACATACCCTAACTTGTGGGACACAATGAAAGCAGTGCTAAGAGGAAAGTTCATAGCACTAAGTGCCTTCAAGAAGAAATTCGAGACAGCTCATTCAAGCAACTTAATGGCCCACTTAAAAACCCTAGAAAAAGAAGAAGCAGACACACCAAAAAGGAGTAGACGGCTGGAAATAATCAAACTCAGGGCTGAAATCAATCAATTAGAAACAAATAAAACAATTCAAAGAATCAATGAAACCAAGAGCTGGTTCTTTGAGAAAATCAACAAGATCGACAAACCCTTAGCCAAGCTAACTAAAAGGCAGAGAGACACCACCCAAATCAACAAAATCAGAAATGAAAAGGGGGACATAACTACAGACACTGAGGAAATCCAAACAATCATTAGGACTTACTTCAAAAGTCTGTATGCCACAAAATTTGAAAATCTAAATGAAATGGACAATTTTCTTGATCGATTTGACTCACCAAAGCTGAATCAGGACCAGGTAAATCAACTAAATAGTCCTATATCCCCCAAAGAAATAGAAGCAGTCAT